TGTTGCTTTGCGAAGTAAAGTCCAGCAATCGGTAGTAGCAGACGCGTCGAAGTCCAGTTCTTTAGAATGACTTTGTTTTATCCTTCGTAGTCGATAGACCGACAGAGATGAGTCCACAAGCCTTAATATGGGATAGGCTGTAAGTGTATATGTATGCTTATCCTACATACACATATATGCTTGTGTGTCTGTAAATTTAAAGATCAGCAATAATCTTTCAAATAGGACAAGCATTATCGCTATAGAACCAATTTTTTTGCCGGTTTCTAGCGTTACACTTTTGTGGACGCGATGCGAACCGAGCAAGGGTTGCCCCCCATTAACTCTAGAATCTAATTAGTCGCAATGAACTGATTATGTAAGCCGGTCATTTGTTTGGCATATAGTGTCAATAACATACCTACACAGTTATTAGAAAGGACTAAAATAGTTTGGTACTTAGGTAAAATCAACAAGTGGATGAAACCATCACCATGTGCCGTCCGGCAAACTGGATGCAAAGATGTCAATCAATTGCAAAGCTGAATTTACCTGATATCTCTTTTTTTATTAGCCAATATACACAGCTGTTAGTGTTACTACCCAACGAGGTGGTCCGTAACGGTAGTAGCCGTACAGTGCGGTTGTTGAGAACATTATGAGTCTCTAACACATCTATCTCTCTATCTCTGCCCTAGAATTTTTAGCCCTGCACGATGAGTTTCGGTCTGTAAACGTTGTGATTCATATTCATAATAAGCGTTCACCGCACAGCCACACGCTACTAGCACCAACTATATCGCGCGTCTACTTCGTATCAAATAGGTGGCTTATCATATAAAACTGCCAATTACGATTTATGAATTTCTATCTTTAATTCAATCCTATACACGACGCTACAATAGGTAGTTCCGCACAACGCGCTTCGATTGCCTCGTGACCTTCGGCACTTTCTAGGACCTGTCCTTTGAAAGTCTTCTTATATATTACGCTTGCACCTGTTGGACAATCGTTTCGAGTGTCAGTATCAATTCTATCGCTGACCGCTTCAAGTTGGATTGCTGGGAGAATGTCGCCTAATGCCACGGACGTACATCGACGTACACAGCCATACAAATCTGACTTTAAAAGAATAGTTTTGTCGTACGTCCAACAGCCGTTGCGGATTCAGTTAGAGCCGTTGCAGCTATTTAAAGCGAGTAACGATTCTAGCATGACTGACTGGACGAGCTAGGCCATATCTGTCTATATCAATGACGCGGATGGCAATGCTGATTGTGGTTATATTCGGACTTTACTAAGCGGTTCCTACTAGTTGCTCGTCATAATCCATCACCTTGTGCAAACCGCTTAACCAAACGCTAGCTGTACGATGGCATGGTCGTATAGCTACCGTCCACCAAGATGTCAGTACTATTCTATCTGGATTCTATGCATGGATCGAGTTACGAGGCTAGATACATTAAATCAATGGTGGGGGTTGTGACTAAGCTCGTCGCGGAGCTTGAGTGCTAGCGTAGCCCGACGTCCCAGCAAGGCCGAGCGGCACAGAACGGAAGCGGCCGCATCAGGAACAGCAGCAAATTCCATGCCTGTCTCGTCACCGTCTCGAATATCGCGGTACGTTGACGCATTGCGATCTTGGAATTTTCTGAAGCGAAAGTGTTCCCCACCACCCAAATAAGCCCGACGAGCGAGTCAGCTAAAGAGAAGAAAAGGTTTCAGCGAGGGACTTAAAGCGAACCGGGTTTTGCTTGCTTGCCTGCCTGCCTGCCTTATAAATAATGGGTTGAAGGACAATTCGCCGGACAGACGGCTAGCTCTCTCACTATTGACGTGGGTGATCGCAGATGGCACCGCCGCAGATATCTGGCTGCCGCTGCTCTTGCGGGTCTTATGGCAACTACAGCTGCGGAGCCGAAATGAAGGAGAAACTGTGTTTCGTTCGTCGGTTATAGCTTTCACCAAATATCTATCATCTCCGCATTGTAATGTTTTAGAGTCGTGATGGCCGGGAAACGAGATCGAATTATAGGAAGGTAAGCAAAGTGAACTTTGTCGAGCTAAAAGTTTCATACTGGCAGAAATGCGAAAAAAATAGATCGGGACTACTGTTTTATGTTGTTTTCTGCTCAGACGATGTACTGAGTATTGATTTGTTATTATGAACTTATGTTGTTTGCAACATTCTCTCTTGTGAAAACTCTCTCAGAGTCTCTTGTGACAACATGCTTGTTTCCGACTTGTGTGGTTCGTAGACTAAGTGAAGGTAACTTTGTTGCATTTGCTAATGTTTCTATTCCATCCGTAGACCAGTTTTTGAATAGAACTGATGCCAACTTCATTCCACTAAAAACCAAAGTAATGAACGCTGCAAGAAAGGAACGCGGAAATTGAAATGTCGAGAGAGAAAATTTACATTTGCTACCTGAAATATATCTCCTATGTATGATCTGACCTTTGTGTTTTTGTCTAGCTCAAGGGTTTCGCCCCTTACATAAATATAAACATATGCCATATGAGAAAAGCGCACACAACCTTTTTAGCAGACAATTTAAATCTAGAACCCTAAATGATTCAGGTGTTCCGTGAGACAGCTGGCGCCTAGCACAATGCATTGTATAATTTTACCAATGAATGGCATTATGCACTATCCATTGGCCTTTTTTCTGACCCGTGGGATCCTGCCCTGCCTTATAATGACAATATGCAGCTGCTAGAACCACGACGGCATTCGAGGAGGTTACACTAAGCAATAAACACCATTTGCACCGCCAACGACCTACGATGGGATTTAGTAAGAAGAGTATCGACCTCTACACAGGCTGGCGAAAGTTTCATTAATGCCACGGAACTCGTTTCAGATATGGGAGATTTAGGATAGGCGAGCCACAGTGTATTTGTACAGCAACACGTGCGGGTGTGATATGCAGTGAAGAACCGAATCGTCTTCTACGGGCGATAGGACGTGAAAAACACCTTTTTTTTTTTTGTATCCTGCCTATGATATGGCGCATGTGTCCCAAAGAAATAGGTTGGCCTGTCATCTGAGAGCATGTTAGTTTTTCTTTAGCAAGTAACTACGCATAGTGTACAGCGTACCGCTTATGCATCACCTCGATTTCCTGTCAGCACTCGCAATGTGTACGTAAGCCTTTAGGCACACTTAGAAGACGTACGTAGAAAGGAACAAACAGTTTCCGTAGAAAAAATATATCTAAAGCTAATATGATCTATATTCTGGCTGTAACAACAAGCTATTTTTACAATGTCCGTATTTGTTGTCACGTGTCCGTTTTCAGCGATAGAAAGCTAGCAGAAAAACTAGTTGAACAAACCAATGGGACCGGACTGGGCTTCATTCAGGAGAACAGTTATGTGCAGGCTAGCCTCTGTTGATGTTCATTGTGCGAATCGAGGAGCTGTCTATTTGCGCTCAGTAAGGTCTATCTCGAACAAGTTCTCGACGCATGCCACACTGCGCTATAATTATAGAAGCTCATCATTCCTTTGTAGAAATAAACTTTCTAAATATACGCAACGAGAGTTTTATGTTGCGTATATGAATATGATATAATATAGTAATCTCATACATCTAATTGTAGGATGCTACCGAGCAAATTCATCTAGGCGGTCATAGCCATCTTCGTGGAGCTGTGCCAATCACCCTTTAGATATGTAACTACCCGCACCAGGTTACGACGGAAACAGTCTGTATAAAACGTTAACCACACACTGACCAAGCTTTCGGTATTTCTACATCTAAAAAGCAGAGTGGCCATTGGCCTATGTTGCCTTAATCCACACCTGTAGCTTATTTATGGGAAAAGCATCCACCATCTCAATCGACTTCCATCATTTCGTTTGACATTTTAGTCGTATTGGCTTCTCGTCTGTTTAAGGTTGAAGGAAACAAGATGCCTCAGACGGGCATTTACCCGCCAGTATTCGAAATTCGCTCAGTGTTCGTAGACTCTACTGTGTTCTTTGCAATAAGTGGAACCTGTATTTGGAAGTGGCAGTCTTCGATTGAACGCGCTTCGATGTATATGCTGTATGCGAATGCAAGGTAGCCATGCGGACGAATTATATCTGTTAATTCAGTTGAAATATTGGGTAGCTTCATCAATAAAACAACCAATGTATTGATCACAAAGTGCCATTATTGTTATTGGTACCGAAATAATGTTTGCAATTAAATTAACGTTACGTCTACAAACGTCTATGCATTTCTTCCATTCCCAATCTCTACGTAAAGTGAGAAAGATCTAATTAAATTAAATCTTGAGCAGGACTGGCCGGACAGGGGCAATATACGTTCCTATGGCACATGCACCTCTAAAAAGAATGGAAAACCTCGCATTCATAAATAACTTCCGACCATTGTCGGGTAAACCTCCTTTAGCTACCATATAACATTAGAACAATTAAATAAAAATTTGGCAGACAAAGAACGGCACACCTGATCGGTAGGGTTTTATTGCAATCCTTATTAAAAAATTATTATTAAAAAAAAACCTAAAACAATTACGCCATTAGGTGTTATTCATACTGTGCATTAGGAACATGAAGGGGTATATGTACTGCTTTGTGTTTTCTTCATTTGAACCGATACAGCGACGAAGAACTCTAGAAGTTCTTAAAATATATTTTTCTTTGTGCGTACTATCTCCGTTCTATTTTTTGTATTTGAGTGCCGGCAGTTCAGCGAAATCGACAATCACTGACGCCGTTCTCATGGAGGTTTCTGAAGACAACTTCCCTTACTTTTTAGTATATCCAGCGCTTGTCACACATTTGCAGGTTAACGGAAGTTCCAGATGTTTCTAGGAGACATGGTACATACTTTTACAACTACTATACGTCATCTGTATTTGATGCCGTCATATGCACATATGCTGCGTAAAAATAGGGTACTCAACGAAACGACTGCGGGATTAAAATTGTTGATCTTATTTGAGCGCCCATTATTAATCGCATTGATTACTAGTTTTGACTGAGCTCATTATGATTCCTTCCAGGTCTTTCTGAAGAACACGCGCGTCGCTATTTCGGCCAGATTCTGTCAGCTATCATATATTGCCACAAGCTTCACGTAGTTCACCGGGACCTTAAGCCCGAAAACGTCGTTTTCTTCGATAAGCTGGGTGTCGTTAAGTTGACCGATTTCGGTTTCAGCAACAAGTTCTTGCCTGGAGAGAAACTAGAAACCAGTTGCGGATCGCTAGCCTATTCCGCTCCTGAGATTCTGTTGGGAGACTCTTACGATGCGCCGAAAGTCGGTAAGCAGTGGAAATATACCCCTACGCGCATGTGTGCTTTACCATGTTTCAGGTATAATAATAATATAATAATTTCCTGTCTCTAAGCCACTAGCATTGCGTGGACCCGTAGTCCATGTGAACGAGTACACAAAAGAAAATAGTCCCGCAAATTAATTAGGAAGTGGATAGCAGCCCAACGAGATAGCTAGCGTTATTCGTGTCCACTGAAGACGGACTCGTTTCCAAATCAACTGGGAGTAACTTATGCACGTGGACGGCTTATAATAGTCGGCCGTAACCTGTCTCGGCTCTTCCTCACATCCTACGCTAATAGAACTTAGAAGCGGAATGGAGAATGTCGTCTATTGGCTACAAAAAAGGGGCTTTCATGTAAAAGCGACCTTTAGCAAGTAGGCTCAGTTAGCCGTCTTTACGTTATTGATCTAAAGAAAAGTTATATTGGTGATAGTTTCATTTATAATCCACTCCATCTATATGCCAAATTCGGTTTTCTCTGATCATTTATCTGGCCCCAGTGGTACATCCCGATATGCTTAAACAAATCAGATTTAATAAGATGGCTGTATTTTGGAAATATGCCGACAATGTTTTTTTATATCTTTCAGGCATGTTTTTAACATTAATAGAAACTACATCATTTGCCAGCATATGGCTTTGACCTAGGACAATAGAGTTCGTACTTAGCGTTTCCATGCGCTGGGGGTGGCAGACGTCGAAAACTTCAATTCGAAGGTAACGAACCGTCGCAACGAGGCATTCCACCTTTTTTTGCACGTAAAACTATTAGCATCAGGGTGGCAAGTTTACACTTATAGTACTTTCAGTCGAATCGCAATTTTTCCCTTACGCAAGAGGCGTTCTAGTAGGAACTTTCCGGTTGTTCTATTTCGAATAAAGTGGAAGATTCGAATCAAGAATACGTTAAGGGGAGAAGCGTAGTTTAGCGTCACTTAATAGGCCCTGATGCCCTAAAACGCATCACCGTGTACGATTCAGTAAAGGAATAGATTGTTTCTGTTTATCTGTATTGTAGTAGAAGACAACTAGCAGAAAATCAGTCCTACAATTACCATGCCTTTTCGTCAAAGGCAGCAAGGTAATTGTCCCGTACAAATAGACACGGGAATTAATTTTAAATTCACTATTATACTCAGTGCATTAAGAGATATATTGCTGTAACTATGAAAATATTGTTCGCTGCATTCTGATAGAATGATATGTGTAGTATACGAAATGCGCAGTTTTAGCCTAGAGGCACATTGATCTTCTCGAACCATTGAGCTATGGTTGTAGCATGTTGACACTTCAAGAAGTTTGTGTATAGTTTTTTTGGTTACTCTCGTAAGATTATGGGACCGTTCTGGGAGCCTCTTGTTATAGGTCGATGCTTGAATGGAAACCTTAGACTGAGGTCGTTTAAAATTATGGTCGATTACGACGCTGGTGCAGTATCTTGCAGTGAGCTTTAAGCCTATAGATATAACCTGTGATGGTCTAATTGGAATTGGCTGTCTTTCATTAAAATTGCAGTATTTTCCAAGTTAATGTCTCTTATTGATTGTGTATGACAATACGCGATGCCATAAAGAATCCTCCATGTAACAGAGCACTTTTTCTTTTGCGTAATGTCGTCTTTCTCTAGACGTCAAAAGATTACAGCGTTAGCGTCAGATGACGTGACGATAAAGGACTTGTTACAACTAACTCGCTTCGTAAGAGCTAACAGTTGTCACCGTTTGTCAATTTCAGACATCTGGAGTTTGGGAGTATTACTGTATATGTTAGTTGTTGGACGAGCGCCATTTCAGGAAGCCAATGATAGTGAAACGCTTACAATGATTATGGATTGCAAATACCACGTTCCCGGACACGTTTCTCATCAATGTAAAGCACTTATAGGTGTGTCTATTCAATAACGTTTCACCAGATGCCTGTCTGTCGAGCTCTCAATGTTATCCACCTGCCTACAACTGGAAAGGAAAGAAAAGCCTCACTATTTTTCTAATCTGCCTTGAATATTGTTTTGTCGCCTTTAGGCAAAATGTTAGTCCGTAGCCCAGAAAAACGAGCGACTCTGGAGCAGATTGCCACCGACGAGTGGCTACGTGGTCTTGACGTGGCTCAGCTGGATGCTGGACCCCTCGTAGGTCGTGAGCAGCTCTCCGAAGATGAACACCAGCTGATTGTACATAAGATGGTCCAGGGAAATATCGCCTCAAAGGAGCAGATTCACGAGTATGTTGGACCTATATGTTGAAGCTAATGCTGAATAATTTGTCGAAACGTTATGAATACAGTTCGTATATGCTTAGATTAAGTCTATCCGCCATGACATTGCTTCTGTTCGTTTGTATCAATTTTCTTTTAAAATAGAGATACGTTTTTGTTTATATATCCATCTCCTTTTGTTTGTTCCCGCGTTTCTATGTACGAAGGGCTCTCGAAGAGAACACATATGACCACATAACAGCAACGTACTTTCTTCTCGCGGAGAGGAAGCTTCGCTCTACTCGATTGGGCGTCAAGACGCCCACCCGTGGACGCAAGCAAATACTCGCCCAGCCTCCACGGGTCGCGCCAGGCGCCCAGGCGACAACAGGAGCCACAACAACTACCAGTGCTGATCCGCATGTTACAGGCTGTATGATCTCACGCATTGGAGCCGAAAAAGCCGCTGGTCCCGTTACCTTGCCCGACTCGCCTAGAGCGAAGACAAGTAGCGCAGCTACTGTAGCCACCGCATCAGAGACAGCAAAATTTCCAAGTGCTTCTACTCATCTGAACAACAACAATAACAAGGTTCATATCAAGGATGGCAGCAATGGCTATAGAGATAATAACACTAGTTGCAGCAATAACAGTACTGGGCTAGAGGCAGTGGTAGACAACGCTCGACCAGCGTTGATGCAGTCGACATTTTGGACCCCGATGAGTACAGGGTCGTGCGTAGCCGGAAATACGGCCGTGGACAATGCACTGAGCAGCACTGGAGGTAATTCGCTGGATGCGCTCATGATTCCTGCGCGCTTGGCTAGGAAATGCAGTATCGTCCGTGAGGGCGAAGAGGACGAAGCCGGCGCTAGTCCTGGCCCCTCGCCAAAGATCAGTGCTGCAACTATACCTGTCGCAACGGTTAGTATCAAACTTATTAATGGAGAAATTATGTGGAGTAAGCAGAGCTTTTGATAAATCTATAAAATGTGTAACGGGAGAATAATATATCTCGCTTGTAGAGCAGAAAGGTGATTGAGAATTTAAGGTGTTGCCTCGAATCTGCTATGACATAATTTATGTTTTTCGAGCGGTACGCAGTTCGTACGGGCAGTGTGCATCCTGTAAAATAAACGATGCCCCTGTCAGCCATATCGTCAAGCCATGCTTAGACATTCCAAGGCCACGCTTCGTTGTCGAGTGAATTGAGGGAAATTATTAGAATTTCTATTATGGTTATGTGTTGTAGGTATAGCCATTTCGGCTCTTTACCTCATGCTTTCATAATGATTAAAAGGTTACTGCTCTAATGTCATGTAAACGACTCTAGTTGTCTGACATGATCGTCTAGCAAAAATATATAATAGCTTTATATTGTATAATATTCTATTCTTAATACCTCGCGTTAACATTTTTCCCCTATCTAGGTTACTTCTCCGTGAATAAACAATGGGAAAGCTATTCATTTTTGAACATTTTTACAGTGTGATCAAAATAAACCAACCAGGACATAAACAAGACAAAAAGCCGCTTAAGACTGCAGTTAAACTAAATACATTGTAAAAAAATGCCGCCAAAGATACTATTTTCTAATAAAAACATACGTGTTTTAAGAAAAGCGCAAAATTATATTTTTATTCTCTTATTTAAATTCTCTATAATATCTTATCTATTTAAATTATATCTCGAGCCTGCTGTAAATTATGATATACTTTTTTCACCATCTATTGCTATACATAATATTAATTTTAGAACTAGACATTTTAAGAAAAACGTTGCTTATTACTGTCAAACGTCAATCAAAACCCAATTTAGCGTGCCCTTGAAAATGGTAATGTAATTTTTACCCTTATTCGTCGAGCTTACATAATGTAACATGGTTACAGATTATAGAAAAAGGGTCGAGCCCAGCTAGCGAAGAAGGTTCATCACCGTGTCCAGGCCATCCATCTGCAGGGGCGTATAACAGCAGTGTCCGACAAATGCTCTCGCTGCCGACTGGGGCTGGTGCAACTGGTTCCACCTCCCAGCAGCAGCTGTGCCCCTCTGGAAGTTCTGCCGAAGACGAGTCAATGGACAGCGACGTTAACCAGCAACTCAGCCCTGCAGGTAATAAATCTTATTGACACGTTTGTATACCATGAAAGACTATTTAGTCAGCGATTTCGTTGCTAATTAGGTAAATCTGAATAGAAGAAATCGAAGAACGATCGTTTCTTTCCTAAATTTTTCTATCACTCTGTCGAAATGAAGAGTGAAAGCGCGTATGAACCGATCATGGTTCGTTTCTGCTACTTATATGTTCGCCCGGGACGTAAATGACACCGTTATGGAATAAATGCATCAAAAAATTGCTACTCATTGTGCTTAATACACGACTCTGATCTCTCGAATAACTTAGGTTTACAAGCTCCATGTGAAATAACTTCAAAGCCTGTTGCAGTTTAGTTATTGTTTATAATAAAAGAAGAAGACAACAAATAATTAAGTTGCTTGTCTCGGCCAGCTTTGGCGACCTTGTCGAGTCCATATAATCTAACGGAGATTGAAATACCATAGAGATTTAGGCCTTGTGAGATGACTTGGATTTGTCTAAAGGTGTGGCAGAATGGTTTTAGAGACCAATGTCTACATTTTCATTCGGTATTATCTCCTTACTGTGCTAGGGCAAAAATGCCCCTAGGAATTCCGTTTACCACTTTCTAGACTGTGCTCCGTGTCTCTGTTCTGAGAAAAATCAAAGCTTGTATTTATTTGTTTATCCAAAAGTATCCAGCTAGGGTATACACTATAGAGCCGATAGAATATCAACGACGAAAGCTTTAATTAAATGTTCGTGGTTTTCGTATTACTGACGAGAAATTAATTTTTTTTTTTTAGAATTTTCTATGCTAACCAGCCTATGAGAATTCTCTTAGGCTGAAAAGCACCTTTTTTTTTTTTTTTTTTTTTTTTTTGATGGAACTGTAACGGAAGCGAAGCGGACCTTTGTAATTAAGTTGGAAGTAACGCATATGAAAGAGATTAGTCCAGACATATTGATACACTATCAGCTCGTTACTTTCGTTCATAATGATTCGTATAGCAAAAAAAGATCATGTGTGTTTAGATGATATCGTTTACGAAAAATTTTAAGTCACTCAAGTATTTTTTACGTTATCTACGACGATCATTTTCTTTCTACAGGCTGGCTGTCACGACTTCAGTGGCGGCGGATATTTTTCCAGTTGTGGATATAAAGACTTTACCCAATTAGCTAGATGAACTCATGAGCCTCTATTGTGTCAGATCTGACTTTACTAAATGAACCAAGTTAACGCTAATCGATAGTCCCATATTGACTGGCCTGCACCTCGTAGTCATTTTTGTACCACTGATTAGTTTCCGTTGGACAACTGCGAGACTAACGGCAAATAGCAATGGCAAACAGAACACGGCAGGTAAAGAAAGTTTCAACTGCCCCTACTAAGTCCATACAGCGGAAAAGGGATCTATACTTAAGCCTAGAAATCACCAGCGGTTCAATACATTGCGATATGTAATGTACCGTTGAATCCTATCAAAATCCGTGGAGTTAGCCATCCGTGGTGGCCCTATTTCAGACGTGTCTCAACCGTGTGATCTCTCGATTTACCCCGAGCAAACTGCCGATAAAGTGCTAATATCAAAAAGCAATTCAGGTTCACTCCCTGTAGCCAGCTTCGAATTTTCATCTCACCACCCTGCCCACAACCCGATCACGCATGATAAGAAACAATAATAAATGTGCCATATATATATAAGCCTTTCGTATACATGTGAGCTCATTGACCACAACGTAGATGCCTATGTGTTACTATGCTTTGCTAAACAATTGAATTACTTCCTTCTGGAACTAATCAGTTGCGCCGGCCGTATGTGATGAGCGAAACGGGACACGACGACCGGATATCTGTAGTAGACCCTTGTATCAACTGTTTTGAAATCGGCTCTTTGTTCCTTATATCTCCCGATCTCAACCTGCATAAATTGTTAACTTACACTCTCCAAAATCGTACCCCTGCGCAACATCTCCTCTTGAAGTCGAGTGTGTTTAGGTACAGCGTGAATAACGTGCAACTTCGCAGGCCTACAGAAAGCAAAAAATACTCATCCGTTCCTTTTGATGACAGAAAACTTAGGATTCATGTTTTATGCCTAAAGATATCTGACGTAACCTTCCATCAACACGTCTACCTTCCATACAGCAACCAGCCAGAAGTTAAAGTCACGTAATCCGTTGCTAGCTACTAATCATGTAATCAGTCAACAGTTGGAGTGCTGGATGCTCTTACATTAGAAACGCTTTGAAGGTTTTCATAAATGTATGCACTATCAAAAACGAGCAATATACACTACAAGATAAAGCAAAAGTTTCTGGATAGTTACGAGAACGTTTTCCAACGCTATCTGAAGACATCTTAAACTATCTAGATACTTTTTTTCTTTATATTGTATGTAAAACTTAATCAAAAGAACAATATAAATAGTCAAAAGCGTAAAACTGAGTAGAATCACGCTTCTACGTTTCCACTTCTATTAGTACATCTCTAATTATTAGCAAGCATGACATGAGAAGGGTTCAGAGCGCTCTGACGATAGACATGTAGCCAACCTTCCTCGATCATCCCATTTATGTTTGATTTCACCGACTAAACGAAGAAATACTTAACTCGAGTTAAACCGATATTAAAAGATCGACCATATTACTATTTTATTGGGTTTGCCGTATGCTTTTGGCGGCAGATACCGCCTGCGCTGTCCTTTTCTATCCTAGTCAAACAGCAATCAAAAACTAACGAATCACTAATTATAATAACTGCTGACACCCTTTTTTTTACTGTGAAAACTATAAGACTATACAATTCAAGTGGAAAGCAATCACTTTGTGATATCGTAGAAGAAATGCCCCTTGTCCCATTGTGTGCACTACTCATTTCTTCTTTAGCAATCATTAATTGTGGGTCACCCATCTGGACCATAATCGCTTGCTAGCTAACCGTCTTGTCCATGCTGCCCACTCACTATACCCACGCTGTTCGATGCCCTCGATGTACTGCTCGTTCATTCGCCAGGCCAACCTGTGGGGCGTAAGTTGCACGCTGTAAAGTCCAGTCCACAGCTTCTGCAATCCGCTGCCGCCGCAACATCCTCACCTGCTGCCGTGACTCCCGGGAACACGGGTTCCTGTACGTCGGCCTCCACGAGCGGTGGCCAGGCCATATGTACGGCAGGTGGAGGGTCAGCGACGATGACAGGTGGCGTTTTGACAGCTGCCACCCAATTAAATGCGAGGCCTGGAAGCCTTGTTGCCGGCGGACTCAATACAGCTTCGAGGCATCGAAGGCTCAGCTGTTCGAGTTCCGAAAATGATGATGACGACGATGACCCAACATTCCGTAGGCTGGAACGAAGTAAACAAGAGGAGGATACAGAAGCCGAAGGTCGGCGAAGAGATTCGATTGCAGCACAAATTAACCGAGGTAAATGACGTCATTTGTAGAACTAACCTTTGTTTTCGTTCAACAATGGGTGAATATATGTGTGTGAGAACGGTTTTTTATGAATAAACTTTGTTTCTTTTATGCTGTTGCGTGCGGTGCGATTGCGTTGGGTTTGCTAAGTTTCACTGTTGCACCCTAGGTACAGCGTGGTTAAAAAGTGATTGATCCAAACGTATTTGCTACTAAGCGCTTAAAGGTGTACGTTAAATGCGGTAACAACTTATTATAATAACTTAAATAAGAAAAACTATATTTTGGAGCACGGGGGATTGTGCTTGAGGTTCCAATAGCCCTTTACGGTTCTAAGCGGAGTGTGCTTTATTTTAAGTCAACTTATGTGTAACTTGTTTCATTTTTGTCGGTTCTGAAGTACACAACACAACATTTGAATATGTATGTCTTTACGAACGAACGAACGAATCATATAGTTTTTAAGACAGCCTCCGAAATGACACACAACTCACTAACCTCTTAATAGATTTCACCATTTTTAGGCATTCTGTGTATGACTAGTCTGAAACCGCCAGATAAGGACTAATATGATCTTCTCTTTCGAAGATGTCCGGTTCGCTTAAGCGGTTTTGATGAATTTGGACTTTATTTTTTCAGTGCAGATTATTGCTGTTAGTAGTATATAACATCAATAAGCTAATTTGACGTCTTATCTTCAAGGGGACCATTTACATAAACTCTAGCTTGCACATATGGCCATGAATAGCAAAGGCTAACGATGTACGGCTAACATACTGTCATCAGCACCCAAACATTGTGTATGTCTTTGTACCATAAAGTGTATTTGAAACTAATTCGCTCCTCTTTCTTTCATATTCTTTTTCTACCCGTCGGTTTCCGTTCGACTCCTGCTCTCACAACAGAGAAACGTGCTTCGGCTTTATCCGTAGCAGCGACGCCTCCTGTGGCCACTCCCGAGACGGAAATATTACCAGCATTAAATCTCAGTCATCTCTTACGGCATGATTCAGTACAATTTATGGATAAGAGTGACTCGTCCTCTATACACGGAGGCAACGAAACCCATCACGAATCGACGAGCTTACGGGAAAGTCGCAAAGTCAACGATCAGTCTCCAATAGATTACAGAGATGAGGTCGTCATTCAGGCCGTCCCGCGCTCACCTGAGCTCACGCAGAGCAAATCAATCGACGCATCGATGAGTAAATCAATTTCAGCTTCAATCGCTGCCGCCAACAACAACAACAACAACAACAACAATAACAACAACAACAACAACAACAACAACAACAACAACAACAATAGTCACCAAAGAGGAAAGAATCGTACCAAACGACTAGTCGATGTCAAGCTCGCGTCTAAATGCTGCAGCATATGTTAATTGGCTAACACTATAAAAGAAAAACATCGCGTTAGGCTTACCATCTACGAAGGAGCCATAGTTGGAAAGGACTGTGTGAGACAAGTGTATGAGCTTTTTCAAAATGTGCAATCAGGAGAAAGGTGGGGTCGCGGGTGGATTGGTAAAATATAGTGATAGACAATATAGATTATTATTGTTCTTAGTACGATTAGCGATTTGCACCAGCATCCAGGATGGGTAACAGGCCAAAGGTTCGTATGATGCTGCGGTGTATGGTGGAGAACGGTGACCCAAACGATTTATGTAATATTATGTTTATGTATCTTGTACGAAGCAAAATCTAAATGCTTCCTTAATTAATTCAGAGTGGGTCAGTAGGATGTGAACGCGTTACTCGAAACAGACGGCAGTCGGGTTTCTAGCCTTACAAAGCATGTAACTATTGCAGACAGCCCGCGTATGCTCTCGTCTCGTAAGGCTCACGTGTAACAACATGATAGCTTGTAAATCTTGTCTATATTCTGTTTTAGTAGAACACCAGCTGTGTCCGTAATTAGCACGGCATTTGTAAAGAGGCGTGAATAAACCTATTAATGACGATGCAAACATTGACCCCCTATTGAATAGTCCTGTGTCTTTCTAGGCCTTTCAATTGTACTTTCTTTCTTGCTGGTATTTAGGCAGCTGGTACGGCCTAACCTCAAGCTGCGGATGGAGACTGCTACATTGACAACCAAAACCGAAACGCTGATCATATAGGCATTAAATGTTACCGGCTGGAACTATCGGCATATATTATACCATATACATACATCCGTAGATAGTATAAATTAATCTATTTATTAAAAATGCTAACGGATACTGCTGAACGAAGCTACTGTTATTATTTTTGGAATGAATGGCTGGGTGATGCCAATTTCAACAGCGATCTTATAAAAAACTGATTGATTCGTCTGAGGGTAAAGGCGAATGAGAGGGATCTGAAAGAGGTCGGCAAAAATCTATCTCTGACGCCGGCCGTCTCATGTTTTCTCAGTCAGCAGTGCCAGACTTCTCTGCTAAGATATTAGGCAGATATAAACTTGTATGATTTTTCGTTTTTATCATTAGACGGCTGATTGCTCAGTACTGAGATAATTAGCACAAATAAAACATAGTTGTATGCGTGCTCACGTTCAACAATGGATCTGTGTCTTCGTCCCGTGCCGACAGATATCGGTACGACAAAACTGTATCATTGAATAGAACAGAAAATATGAGTGAGACATGTCAACAACTATTAGTTAATAATTCACTATGAGAATTGCTAGAACGCGGCTGGAAGAGACGACTGTATATCTGCTGCAATAGGACCCAGTGGCAGCAGAAACCTGCTTTGCAATTATCGTCGCCGTATAGAAGGCGTCGTGATTGTGGAGCTCGTACTATAGATCCCGGCTATCGCCAACAGCCGTTGGCACTCTGTACTAAATAAGAAGAATCTGTAAATTATTTCGCATATATATGTCAATGTTAAAAATATAGCCATAAATACGTATAAAAAAATAGCCACAGAACGACAAAGATCGGAAAAAGGAACGACAACGGAAGCCAAAACCAAGTCTAACTATCTAGCTACTTATCGAAACGTAGATAGCAAAAGATGACCATACATCTGTAGGAGAAAATTTCATATGTTCTTTCAGAGATTGAATGTGAAACTATTCAAAAACCCATGCCCTTCTACATGTGTATATAGGACGCGAATATGTATTGCAGAATCTCATCTAAAATTGTTTGATTGGAGAAGTAAGAAAGGGAAGGAAAGGAAACATGGCTCGTGGTAGTATGATTATGTACTATATTACTAGTAATTATAGTCCTGTACATACGGCATTCATCGTCGACCAGCCATCGTCCAACTGTCTACGATATACTACTTCAGTTCAGATATTAGTTAAATAACATGTTGTAATACATGTTTGCTACCTCCACCAAACTAGTTGAAACTGTTACAAGAGGAAACAGTCATTACACAATCAACCACTCAATTCGCTATAACTCGAAAGAAAATCATTTTGGCACATTTTTAAGCAAATCATGACATCTTTGACTATTGTTCTTTTCAATCCGTGTGTATTATATGTCCGAGCTCGCTCAACATGGAAGACTGACATCTTCACGATGGGCCTGCTGGCCAGCGCTAAGTGAGGCAAGCGTTTATACACGTTAGGTAAACGACATGCCGCTGCAGAGATAATATAGTAGCAACGGAAAGCTCTCCTACTGCTGTTGCAAGGTGCTAGCATGAAATCTTGCTGGTCACATTGAACAGTTCGTTTTCCTCTGAATCGGCCCCAAGCGGGTTCTTGGCAGTGATCGTGTTTTCAATCAAAGTATGTATCATTATGATCCTCTGTCGTTGAAATGGTGAAATCTTCATTTTTTTTGCCGCTATACAAGTTTGATGTACGGGAATCTGTTTAGAAATTTGGCTGAAATTTCCCTATTTGGAAGCTGTTGAAATTCTGCAAAAGAAAACATTGTAATCTGTGGGAATAACGCCTGGCGAGTATGCGGATGACGAAGAGCCTCAATCAATACGTTCTGCCATCGTGCTTCTTGCGATCCGAGCTCAAGTGCCATTGTGCAATAGCAGCGGCTTGCTTCTATTTGTTAGTACTGGCTGCTTAATGTAGAAGTTTTTTTCATTAACTCCAGTTGTTTATGATGATACATCCTCGACCGTAATAGATGACCCAGGACTCCTCGTACCTGCACTAGGCCATCCAATAAATTATAGCAGTTGTACGTTTGGCTAGCATACTGCCCGACCGGTTGACGCACCCGGGTGATGTAGTTTTCCGCCATTATGAAAAAATATCGATTTTCATCACGAGCCATAACAAGCAAGTGTTTTTACTTGTTTTTGATACTCACTCAACCACTCATCCAGCACCCGTTTATTTATTTCATTTGTTATACCAACCTGACCGAGACGAACAAAAATGGTATATACTTACGTCCTGGCTGAGTACCAATGGCTTCGAGATAGGTCAACTATTGTTAGAGCTCTCAACTCCTCGTTACTCATCCTTAAAGGGATCTTCCACGGGACCCATTTTGTAACTGGAATTGTTTTTCTAAAATTCTCGGAACCAACAATTCACGCTATTATTCAGTGGTAGAAGATTTCTTATGCAATGCAAAGTTTGCAGGGCGAGCTGTCTCCGCCGCCGCTGTTGTTGTTTCACGATGTAGACCATATTCAGAACCGAACGGATATTTGTTGACTCACTTGCTTGCTGAAAGCCCGAGTGACGCTCTCAGATCTCAAAGAGTACAGATGCACCTTGAATAAAGAGGTGTCTCGAAATGTCCCATCAATATAAAATGGCACCATCTTGAAATATGCGAATCAGGCGCTTTTTTTTTTTAAATTTAAAATTAATTTTGATTTCTGTACAGCAAAACCATACGACATAACCAATACAACCTACTTAACGATGTTAATTTATATTTTATTATAGCTACCAATATATATATTGGCCTATATGCTTATGGTTTAAATTAGAAGCAGTGGTCGAGACTGTGGCTGTTTTGTGCGGTGTGATGATGATGATGGGGGAGAATTGTTTAGGTCTGCCGAGAAAAGTACTATTCGCAGAAATTAATAGCCTCTTTATACAGGGAAAATCTGAGTTACCGTTACTCTGAAGTAATAACAAGTACACTTTCTTGACAACGAAAGTAAAAGTCGAATCTCATAGACGGCACTACACATTCGTCTCTATTAGTATTCCTTGGAATATGTAGCCTGACAAAAATTAAATACGTTTAACTTAGCAGTAGCGAGCTTGAATTGAGGGGCGAATAAGAATGCTTACCTCTATACGACTGCGCGGATGGAGATGTTTGTTTAGATAGGACCTTGCCTTGCATCAGTGTGGACTGAGTGTAAATGTAGACACCTGTCTGGGTTTTTACTGTGCTTCATATACGAATACGAGTGACACTGCCCATTTTCAACATTAAAGCTGGACTTGCACTTTCTATGACTTTGTTGCAGTATTGAATTTTAAGCAGGTAACAGCTGCTTTGATTTACCGCTTTCCCTCTCTAGTTCGGTCCTTAAGAAAATTAATGGGAGCTGCGTATCGAGAGAACATCAGCTCATCTAAACGCTCATCTTCCATGAGAACAGCTCAATTTCAGTGAATGTCAAAACGTGGAGTACGTTTTTTAGGTTTAGAAACGCCCTTTGAATCGTGTTTTCAGCTAGAAAGTTCTCGTCGGCGTGCACGTCATAACCCTTTCGGATCATTCGTTCAAACGATAGGTTCATGTAACGCTATTCGTTGCCGCCCGACGTACTTATCTTTGGTGTACAGACGTTAAAACAGTAGGATTTTCAAACCGAGTCACACCACTGTGCTAGCAGCTTGGTATATCAAAGAAAATGCATTTGATAGTCAACGATTGATTGCTCGCATAGAAAAGAAACGATAAATCAAGAGGGCTAAAATTTTGCGAACATTTATAAATATGAAGTTGAAAAATGGGCACTGTCTCATATTGTAGCCTGGTCACGGACTGCTTAGAACAAGTTCCTGGCGTGTTGTTATAATCATGATAGTAACGGCACCACAATTGCCGATCGTACGTGAACAGGCATTAGAGAACCTGTAGTCGAAATTAGTATTATACTGATCGTCATTATGTTAGATCTACACGTACCCTTGTAGATATCTGCGTCTTGTTTCATTTGGGAAAGCAGACTGCGTCGTTGCCCATCTACGATGTTCTGTGTCGATCGCGTCGTACGAAACCCGGAACTAGTTCTATATCTATGTAGATAGCTTTTAAGCAATCGAAAGACATATTACGCACGAAACCCAAATTCAAGAGGGAAGGCTTGGCGCGTCAATACATCCCGCAACGTGTTGCTATGTATAAATACGTCTTCGTCCAAACGTCAGATGCGCAACGATTCCGAGGTTGTTAGCAACGTCACGAGAAGCTTTAGAAGTGAAGCAAGAATGACGAAAAACGATTTCGATGAAATCGTGCGTTAGCCACTTCACAAGCCTTCACACAAACACTTATGGCGTCGCTGCAGAGTATATATATATATCACAAACACACGTACAGCAATTCTGTTGATTCGTAACGCCAGCCAAAGTAAAAAATCAACTATTCCAGTTGTTCGGCAGATTTCATAAGCAACACTTTCCCTACAAATACATGATTTGTGTGCTTACAAGACACCCGGCTTGTCAAAAAGGTCAAGGTCATATACAGGTCTATCCGTACGGAGAGACACGCTTATAGGAAACTGGGCACGTGTCACACGTATGGCCTCGAAGTACACCAGACCTATAAGTAGGAAGTGTGGCGTGAGCCGGGACACGCTAAGATGGGAGAGGCGCAAAGAAAACTTTCCAAGGTAACGAGAAGAGGTGGTAAACCATGTATCTAGTCGGCGAAAGATGCTTTTAGATGAGAGAAAACGAATATGAGATGTTCGGGTGAAGTACTCAAATATCATTTGCTTATTTGGCTAATTAGAGTGAATATTTATATAAGTATACTTAGATATTTTGAGGAGGAACAAATGGACGCAATGATATGATCCCAAAGCTTCACTACATTTATAATTTTAAACTGTCAGTGGGTACGAAGCAATATGTATTATCCTGTCGGTGTACATAGTCCATTGAAGACTGTAACTAAATACACAGCTGAGACTTAATAAAGTCATTTAAATGTTGTTAAGCCAAGTTGATGGTGTGCGCGTTTTTGTTTTAGTCAGTCGTCGCTGAGCGTGATTCTACCGAATTAGCGATGTAGTACGCTTTCTATCGATGGATGAGTGCCAATGTGAAAACGTTTGCACTCATTGTGTAGTACATATGCGGTATGCTTTTCAACTAGCACAGATATTCGGACCCATAGTATGTGCTTACGTCAGTAGTAATATATTGCTTGTTAAGATTCATAGCTGGATCAGTCAATTCGAAATACTTCCTTGCAGTTATCTTTAGCGGACAGACATATCCATTAATCTATGCTATTATGTATCAACATTTTGTTAGGAATTAGGTCAGTTATTGGTGCCAAGTGCGTTATCGATCTTTCTACGTTCTACTAATCGTCATATGGCGACGATGAGAGCATCGACTGCTCCGATAGTTCGGGGCACGTAGGGTTGCCTCTTGGAAACTGGGTTAATATATACACTACAATTTCTGATTGCAATATACGATCGCCCCGGCGTCAGCACGATAACCCTACACAATGGCATTACCATAGTTACGGTAATAAGGAATAAGCCTTATGTCCATTTAGAAGATCGACTAGATCACGCCATGCTGATGAGCGGTTTAAACTGCCGCGATTTTAATCCTTCACAAACGCAGCTGAAAAAGTAATTAGACGGAGGTCATGTCGGCATCCGAGTAGTCGACGAGCTTTGCTCCCTGATTGACTCTTTAATGCTGGTGCTTCGGTCGCTTCTCGAAACGGAGACACGAAGTAGGTTTGGTATCGAAGCGGTTACGAACGAAACAAAATGAGAGAAAAACACCATCTGTTTGAAGATGAATTAGACCTCGGCCATGGATGCGTATGACTTGAATATACTGCACAGGTACATCAGTCGATCGGACAGTCGATTCCGGCCATAAAGGAGATGCTTCGTAAGTGAATGATCCGAAGTTGTATCACCGGGAAGAGGTACAATGATGAAAATCTGACCCTTTACTACAATACGGAGAACTACGTAGTTGGCTTCCACAAAATTTGCGTGATTTTATTTGACATTTTCATATAATCATCTTACTCTATTCGTACCACTGTCATGCGTGCTTCCACTAAACACTATTCTGCCAACGAGACACGCTATATGACACGCTACTTATCCTTTAAAACACTAGTTTTGTCCAAGGTTATTGACAAAATAAGTGACTGAAGATCATTTAGTCTGCCACAATGACAGTGTGAGCTACATATGGTATACAAATTGAAGTTTTTTTTGTTTTACAATTCTAACTCTGATCTTTTATATTATTATAACATTAATCTTTTTCTAGGAAAAATATCTAATTTTGATGCAGAATGTAATCAACCTGCGGCCAAAAATAATCGATTTCTATCTTGCTGTCACTGTTTCTTCTGAGTGACGGCTACTTCATAACTTCAGTGACTATAATAACATGTATACGTACAGAACGGTAATACGTGACAACGCTAACAGAATCAAGTTTGTATTGATTCGGCAACAAGGTAGAGTGCAGATATTTGCATTTTCTCATAGCACTTATTAATAATAACTTCAGTATGTTATCTGGTAGCAGATTTGAATTGACCTGCTATAGAAAACGGCTAATGGTTAACGCAGACGTTTGTCCTGAGCGGATATCGTTGTGTCCTACAAGTATGAACGTAATGCTCGAGGCACCGTACTTGAACACATCGTTAATAGGACGGACGGACGGACGGACGGACGGACGCTGCCTCACGGCCTGTCAGTGAAAACGTTGCCATCTGAATTCATCTGTAATAGTTGGACAACATTAATGAGGCGTAAAAACCCCGCAGTCAACAACAGGTTTTTAGTATGTTTCTTGGAATTTAGCGCGCATACTATCTGCTAATAAATAGATTCATATTTAACCTTGGCTTTCTATAATGAATAATTACTGTTCCGATGTTTAGAAACACGACGCTTAG